TTCCAGTCACAAAGACAATACTTGATCATAATTATCTATTTCCTGCAACTAAACCAATTTTGAATTCATTTTACTAAACTGCATTGCACCCCAAGACCTTCTTGACCAGTCTCCAATTTGAGATCCTATCGAAAGTAAGTCCTTGAAGTCCATGCTTGCTATAGCTACATATACATTTAAACTAATCAGTGGTGAAGAGTTCAACTGAAAGGAAGTTTTAAGAATCAAAAGAAATGAGACAGTAGAGATGCAGGATAGTGAATAGGTGAAAAATTAAAGTGTGATGTATTTGGAGATGATGGCCGCAGAAATTAGAAGCAGGGAGAATATTATTGATAAAATGTTGAAGCCTGAGGCTGTTTTTCCAAATGCATGCAAATTGTAACAAGATAATGCTCTGACCATATATGCTAATCCCACTTTCCAGCACTTTGGATAGCTTTGGACGTAATAATATTTCATATCCTTAGCCACATACATTTTAAAGGTTATGATGTTTCCCGCCTCTCCTATTTTCTGGTAGTGCATTTCGCAACCCCACCATCCTTTGAGTGAAAAAGTGTTTCTTCAAACTTCTCTAAACCTCTTGCCGTTCACCTCAAAATGATGACAACCCTCCTAACTGTCTTCATAGCTAAGAACAGCTGTTTTCTATCCACCCTGTCCATGCCCTTCATGATTTAATACATCTCTATAATGTCCCCTCTCAACCTTCACTGCTCCAAAGAAAACAACCAAAGCCTATCCAGCCTCTCTTCACAGGTAGCATCCTGGTGAATCTCCTCTGGACTTCAGGCAGAACAATCACATCCTTCCTAAAGTATGGTGTCCAGAACTGCACATGGTATTCCAGCTGTGATCTAAGAAAAGTTTTGTACAGCGTCAACATTTCTGCTGTTATAATCTATGCCACAACTCATGAAGGCAAGTGTCCCATATTCCTTCTTAACTACCCTATAACCTGTCCTGCCACCTTCAGGCAAGCACCTGAAAGATTCAGCAAAAATTCCATTTTCTGAAGTATTGGACCAATACCCTGGACTTTTCAAAAATTTTTAAAAGCAGCAGCTGGGCTGAGCTCTGGGAAAATACACAGACACAGAGTTGGCTGCCATGGAATTCCAATACTCACCTCAACTCTAAGAGAACAATTAATCAAACCTAACGCTCTCAACTGAAACTAACTTTTACCTGGCAGCAGATGCTATGGAACGTTAACAGATATAGGATATTCAATTTCAAATACATTACATTTACACATTCTCTTAATTATTAGGAGGCCAACTGACCTCAAAGTGAACACCAGAAACATAATGGATAATAGAGATGTGAGAGATGTGAGTGGAGATGACGGAACACATAGACTGTATAACTGCTAGCCCTGATCTGGGACAGGGGTGCCTCTTCAACAACAAGCTCCTGCAAAAACAGCTTCCCCACAGGCTCAGCCCCAACATGCTTCAGAAACAAGAACCACAGAGTCCAAACAGAGAAGCTGAATCAGGAAGACAAACCAAGAGCATCATTGCAACAAGGGACATCCGAGAGGGAAAAGTCAGCCAAGCATTATCCAAACAAGAGCTTCCAAGCCAATTGAAATGACAGCAAGAACCTCAGCAACTGGACATGTTTAAAATTGTATTTTCCTCCATGGTGAGCTGACACTCTCAAGACCCCAAACTTTCCAACCTAGCTAGCAGGGACGGTAATACGGGTGATGACAGTGCAGGAACACAAGATTAGGAGGTCTGATTAAAGATTCTGGATTAAAACCACTGTTTAGCTTCTAATAGTGCTTATTCTGTGTTTAATTTAACAGTGTATTTAATTACTGCCCTCTGTGTAGTTAATTGTGTCAATTTCATTGCTTATTACATTTGTCTTTATTGGTGTATATTAGAGGAACGGATATCTAACAACAGGTCAAAATACAGAAGAGACATAGAGGGCCTGGTTCTGCGGTGCTATGAAAACAACCTCTCTCTCAATGTCAGAAAAACTAAAGAACTAAAGATCATTGACTTCAGAAAAAAAGGAGAACATACTCCATCTAAATCAATAGAACTGAGGTTGAGAGGGTGGACAGCACCAAGTTCCTTAGAGTGACAATAACCGACAAGCTGTCCTACACTGCCCACATAGATGCAATGGTCAAGAAGGCACAACAATGCCTCATCTTCCTCAGGCAGCTCAGGAAATTTGACATGTCCGTAAGGTCCCTCACCAACTTCTATAGATGCACCATTGAGGACATACTGTCCAAGTGCTTCACGGCCTGGTACGGCAACTGCTCTGCCCAGCACTGTAGAAACTGCAGAAGGTGGTGCGCATAGACCAGAGCATCTCGGAAGCCAACCTTCCATCTATGGACTCTACTTACATGGCTCGCGGCTGCGGAAAGGCAGCTAACATCAAAGATCCATCGCATCCTGGTAATGACCTCCTACACCCTCTTCCATTAGGCAGAAGACACAGAAGCATGAACACACACGCGAGCAGGTTCAGGAACAGCTTCTTCCCAGCCATTATTAGGTTGATGAATACACTCTCTAGCCTCAAATAATGATTGATTTTGCAAACGTTGATCTCACCTAGTTCATGCCCTGTGCAATGTAACCTGTACCTCTGTCTAAGTTGTTTTGATCTGTACATCTTGTTTACTATGATCTGTCTGTACTGCTCATTAACAAAGCTTTTCACTGTACTTCAGTGAATAATAAATCAATCAATCGATCAACTTTTTTTGTACTTAACAAACACAGATTCTTTTGCCCTTAAACACCTGTCTACTGCCTTCTTTTTTTCACATTCCTAAGTTAAGTCAGTGTCAGAACCAGGGATGGGGGTGATTAGAACCATCTAACAATTAACAAATTACTGATTGCAAACCAGAATTCTACAAAACCCACAATCTCTCTCTTCTCTGAACTTCCTGCTATCCTACCATTCATTGAATACTCCCTTATCTTGTTACTTCTTCCAAGCAAATCATCTGCCACTAACCCACCCACTGGCCAATTTTTTTAACTTAACTGCAACTCGAGAGCTTCCTCCTCACTGCTAACTACCTGGTGAAGCTTCATGTCATCACAAACTTACTCATCATCTTCCCATATTCTTATCCACGCTGTTTATACACATATAAACATGAATAAGGGACATAGCACCAATTCTTAGACACAGGCCTCCAGTCACACAAATAGACTTCTACCACTATTCTCATTCTCTGTCCTGCTGAATATCTGTAGATTTCTGCAGTCTTCCTCAATTTATATAATATTCATTTCTTCTCTTCTTCCTGTCAAAGTGTAAAACCTCATATTTCCTTATATTACATTCGATCTACTATGTTTTTGCGTACTCAGTTAACCTGTCTATATTCTTCTGCAGATTCTGTGTCATCTTCACCATTTGCCTTTTTTGTGTCATCTGCAAATTTGGCTTAAGTCATTCAGTATCTTCCCCATGTCATAAATATACATTGTAAATAATTGTTGCCCCAACATTGATCCCTTTGAAATTCCACTAATTACAGGTTGCCATCCTGAAAATTCCTTCCTTACCTCAACTCTCTGATTTACGTTGTTCATTTTCATGCCAATATTCTACCTTCAAACCATGGGCTCATACCTTTTTGATAACTTGGTTTCAGGTATCTTTTTTAAATATATTACATGCATGCACTCTTTTCTGTTTTTTCTATCTGCTTATCACCTCTTCAAAGACTTCTAGTAAATTGGTAAAGCATAATTCTGTTTATGAAGCCACACTAAATAATACAAATTTAACTTCTGGAGCTTTTATTCATAAACTCCATTGCCAGCATTCACTCCAGGTTTACAACATGCAGCTGCTGCAGTAACTGAGATAACAAGGTGTAGAGCTGGATGAACACAGCAGGCCAAGCAGCATCAGAGGAGCAGGAAAGCTGACGTTTCGGGTCTGGACTCTTCTTCAGAAGGCCTGCTGTGTTCATCTAGCTCTACACCTTGTTATCTCAGATTCTCCAGCATCGGCAGTTCCTACTATCTCTGCTGCATTAACTGGTTCCCTTTCATATCAGGGTAGCCTTTATTTTAAAGGGCAATCTAGATTCATAGATCATCATCATAGAATCCCTACAGTGTGGAAACAGGCCCTTCGGTCCAACAAGTTCACACCGAACCTCACAGCATCCCACTCAGACCCATCCTCCTATACCCCACCTAATGTACACATGCCTGGTCACAATGGCCAATTTTGCATGGCCAATCCACCTGGCCTGCACATCTTCAGACTGTGGGAGGAAACCAGAGCACCCGGAGGAAACCCATGCAGACACGGGGAGAATGTGCAAACTCCACACAGTCAGTTACCCGAGGGTGGAATCGAACCCGTGTCCTGGCATTTTGAGGTAGCAGTGCTAATCACTGAGCCACAGTGCCGCCCACTAAGTTATTGAAGGTGTGAAATAAAGTAATCTTAAAGCAATTAAATGTGAGATGGAATTGTTTGGAAACCCTGTTTTGTTGGATGGGATCTGGACTGGGACTGCAGGAAAAAGACAACAGAGCCAGCAGAATGGGGATTTCAGTCTGAGACTATTGTTCAGCCTGGAATTCCAAGTTGCTCTACCACTGTAAAAGACTAATCAACAGACACTAACAAGACTCTGGCTGATGATAGCTTTTACATCCTGGGCTACCCAGTACAGACAGTTTGGAGCCTATAGAGACACCGTACATTCAGTTTCAATTGAAATCCAATCATGGAGACACCAGATATTTAACTTCAATCAAAATCCATTCACAGAGTTACCTGACGTTCAATTTCTATTGAAATCCATTCACACAGATTCTGAATGATCAGGAAACCAACTGACTTCAGAAGAAACACCAGAAACAGAATGGACAACACAGATTTGAAGAGAGATAATGGGGTACACAGTCTGTACCTCTATCAGCCCGAACTCACCTGGGGGAACAGCTTTTTTTTTCAAAATCAAGCTTCTGCACAAACAGCTTCCCCAAGCTTCCATTTCCAACAAGCAGCTTTGGAACCAAGAAAAGAGAAGCTGAATCAGGAAGTCAAACCCACGAGCACCATTGCAACAAAGACATCCAAGAGGCAGGGGCCAACCAAGCGCTATCTGAACAAGAGCCTCCATATGCAGGTCTGTTCTAAAAACCAAAAGAATCAAAGGCCAGAACCTCAGCAACTGGACAGACTTTAAAACCATGTTTTCCCCAGAGGTGAGACCCCAAAGTTTCGACCTAGCTAGTAGGGAGGGGATGGTGGATGGTGATAATGCATTGGACCCGAAGGGTAGGAAGCCTGATTAAAGTTTATATAATTAAAACTGTTGTTTTTAGGTTCTAACAGTGTTTAATTTAGCAAGCAGTGTATTTAATTGTACTGCTGTCCTGTGTGTAATTGACTGTGTAAATTTCCCTGTTTATTGTATTTACTTATATTACTTGTATAATACTTACCTCTTGTAATTTTAATAAACACAGAGATTTTTTTGCCCTATAACACTTAACTACTGCTTTCTTCATTTCACATTTCCCTAAATAAGTCCATTGACTAAAACTAGGGATCTGGGGACGATTTGAACCACTTAAAAATCAGAAAATAACTGATTGCAAACGGAAACCCTACAGAATGGCGACAGCGGTAGGATACTGGCAGAAAGAATGTGATGTTGTAGAGATATTTCAGAAGCAAAGTCTCTGATGGAAGACAGGATCTACCTCCTATGTGATTAAACGTAAATACATCCAAGGAAAGGGTCCTGGATCTCTTGCGAGCTGAGCGTCTAGGGGAGGCAGCAGCCCAGCGGACTGACAGCAAGGAGCATAAGTGCTCCATAAAGAAGGCAATCTGGCTCTTCTGTCTTCAGTGACAAGTCCAGATAAGAATTTAAGGGACTGGAGGCAGAGTTAACGGAGGCAGGCAAAGGCTCCAGCTAGGTCAGGGCAAGAGAAATGCTGAATGCAGACATACAGCAAGAGACAAGAGAGGTGGTATGCAGAGGAAAGATTCAGAATCAAGCTAGATTACCTGTGGTAACAAGTTGTAGAGCTAATAGGCCTGAAACGTCAGCTTTCCTGCTCCTCTGATGCTGCTTGGCCTGCTGTGTTCATCCAGCTCTACATCTTGTTATCTCAGATTCTCCAGCATCTGCAGTTCCTACTATCTCTGAAACAGATTACCTCTGGTGTCAGGTCACAGAAGCCAAGAGTAGGGAGCGAGCACTGAATGAGAAAATAGCCATTTCAGGAAGCAAGTAAAAGTGCAGGACTAGAAGCTAAGGGTCATCAGGCAGCATTTCAGGTAGTCTGCAGCGAAGGGTAACAGAGGGTAGAGCACAGCCCCTGTTGGGAGCAGATTTAAAGCTGACTCTAGCTCTATCCGAGACCACAGGCATGGTTTGCCTGATAAACCTGGGTGTGGCCCAGACAGACAGGGAAGAATACAGGGGCTAGGCAGGATTGGATGATATGTCAACTGAGATTGCTCATTCACCTGTGGTACCAAGGAAGGTAGGGGAAGGGGGCAACCCAGTTCTTTCACCTTAAGCTCTCTAATCAATCTGGAATTGCCCTGTCCTTAGTGGGCTGTATCACAAGCTGCTCCTAAAAGACACCTTGCAGATTTTTCACAAATTTCTTGAGATCTGCTTCAATTCTGATTTTACCAATCCACCTGCATTGTAATGTTCCATATGATTTTTGTAACAGTGTTTTCTTGAATGTCTTTTCTGTCTCCTGATTTATTCCCATATCCTGAACACTGCTAGGAGGCCTGTACCAAAGTCTCATTAGGGACATTTTACTTTTGTGGTTTTGCAACTCTATTTTTCCCTAGAGCCTTCTGGCTTCATATCACTTCGTTCTGTTGACTTAATTTCCTTCATTACTGACAATATAGCATCCCCATTCCAGCCCATCTCTACCTGGTCTTTTGTTAGGATGTGTATCCTTGAATATTTACTTATCATGCAGCCTAGAACTGTACAGCACAGAAACAGTCCAACGACACAACAAGGTGCAAGGCTGGATGAACACAGCAGGCAAAGCAGCATCATAGGAGCAGAAAGGCTGACGTTCCGGGCCTAGACCCTTCATCAGAAAAGGGGGAGGGGAAGGGGGTTCTGAAATAAATAGGGAGAGAGTGGGAGGCGGACAGAAGATGGATAGAGGAGAGGATAGGTGGAGAGGAAACAAACAGGTCAAAGAGGCGGGGATGGGGCCAGTAAAGGTGACTGTAGGTGGGGAGTTAGGGAGGGGATAGGTCAGTCCAAAGAGGACAGACAGGTCAAGGGGGCGGGATGAGGTTAGTCGGTAGGAAGTGGGGGTGCGGCTTGAGGTGGGAGGAGGGGATAGGTGGGAGGAAGAACAGGTTAGGGAGGCAGGGACAAGCTGGACTGGTTTTGGGATGAGGTAGGGGGAGGGGAGATTTTGAAGCTTGTGAAATCCACATTGATACCATTGGGCTGCAGGGTTCCCAAGCGGAATATGAGTTGCTGTTCCTGCAACCTTCAGGTGGCATCGTCGTGGCACTGCAGGAGGCCCAGGATGGACATGTCGTCTGAAGAATGGGAGAGGGAGTTGAAATGGTTCGCGACTGGGAGGTGCAGTTGTTTATTGCGAACTGAGCGTAGGTGTTCTGCAAAGCAGTCCCCGAGCCTCCGCTTGGTTTCCCCGATGCAGAGGTAGCCCCACACCGGGTACAGCAGATGCAGTATACCACATCGGCAGATGTGCAGGTGAACATTTGCTTGATGTGGAAAGTCTTCTTGGGGCCTGGGATGGGGATGAGGGAGGAGGTATAGGGACAGGTGTAGCACTTCCTGCGGTTGCAGGGAAAAGTGCCGGGTGTGGTGGAGCTGGAGGGGAGTGTGGAGCGGACAAGGGAGTCACGGAGAGAGTGGTCCCTCCGGAAAGCAGATAAGGATGGGGACGGTAAGATGTCTTTGGTGGTGGGGTCGGATTGCAGATGGCGGAAGTGTCGGAGGATGATGCGTTGGATCCGGAGGTTGGTGGAGTGGTACGTGAGGTTGAGGGGGATTCTTTTTTGGTTCTTATTGCGTGGACGGGGTGTGAGGGATGAGTTGCGGGAGATGTGGGAGACACGGTTGAGGGCGTTCTCGACCACTGAGGGGCGGAAGTTACGGTCCTTGAAAAATGAGGACAACTGAGATGTACGGGAGTGGAATGCCTCATCCTGGGAGCAGATGTGGCAGAGGTGAAGGAATTGGGAATAGGGGATAGCATTTTTGCAGGAAGGTGGGTGGGAGGAGGAGTATTCTATGTAGCTGTGGGAGTCGGTGGGCTTGAAATGGATATCGGTTTCTAGGTGGTTGCCCGATATGGAGACAGAGCGGTCCAGGAAGGGGAGAGAGGTGTTAGAGATGGTCCAGGTAAACTTAAGGTTGGGGTGGAAAGTGTTGGTGAAGTGGATGAACTGTTCGAGCTCCTCGTGGGAGCACAAGGCGGCGCCGATACAGTCATCAATGTAACGGAGGAAGAGGTGGGGTTTAGGGCCGGTGTAGGTACGGAAGAGGGATTGTTCCATGTAACCTACAAAGAGGCAGGCGTAGCTTGGGCCCATGCAGGTACCCATGGCCAACCCCTTTGTCTGTAGGAAGTGGGAGGAATTGAAAGAGAAGTTGTTGAGGGTGAGGACGAGTTCCGCTAAGTGGATGAGGGTGTCAGAGAAGGGGGACTGGTCAGACCTGCGGGACAGGAAGAAGCGGAGGGCCTTTAGGCCATCTGCATGGGGAATGCAGGTGTAGAAGGACTGGACATCCATGGTAAAGATGAGGTGTTGGGGACCGGGGAATTGGAAGTTCTGGAGGAGGTGGAGGGCGTGGGTGGTGTCACGGCCATCGGTAGGGAGCTCCTGGGCCAAGGGGGAGAAAATGGAGTCCAGATAGTTGGAGATCAGTTCGGAGGGGCAGGAGCAGGCGGAGACAATGGGTTGACCAGGCATTCAGGTTTGTGGATTTTGGGAAGGAGATAGAAGCGGGCAGTGCGAGGTTGGGGAACGATGAGGTTGGAGGCCGTGGGTGGGAGGTCACCTGAGGTGATGAGGTTGTGGATGGTTTGGGAGATGATGGTTTGGTGCTCAGGGGTGGGGTCATGATCAAGGGGGCGGTAGGAGGAGGTGTCGGAGAGTTGGCATCTGGCCTTGGCGATGTAGAGGTCAGTGCGCCATA